TTTACCCTGCTCCCTGCAGCAGGATCTGACCAGGACACCTCCAAGCCTCTGAAAGTCCTTCTTCAGTGGATCTGAACGGTCTTTGCAGGCTGAAGACTCCGTGCTCTGATGCTTCAGGACAGTAAGCCAAGCGTTTGTCATCATGGGTATAGGCTGAGTTGTGTCCCCCTCCAATTTGTATGTCAGTATCCTCACTCTTGGTATTTCTGAATGTGGCGACATTTGCAAACTGGGTCTTCAAAGATTTCAGGGCCGGGCTGTGGCTCAGTGGTAGAGCGCTTGCCTAGCCTGTGTGAGGCACTGGGTTCGAGTCCTAGCACCACATAAAAATAAATCAATAAAATAAAGGTATTGTGTCCATCTACAACGCCTTTAAAAAGGAGAGAGATGGTTTTACTAAAATGAGGCTATTAGAGTGGACCCTAAACCACTGGGCGTCTTCATAGAAGAGCAAATGGGCATGTCAGGGAGAGAGGACATGGAGACATGGGCAGGGATGGCCATCTCCAGGCCAGGTGCAGGCCTCTGAAGAAACAGACTTGAGCATAGAGGGCAGGACTGCTGCTCTACTTACTAATAAAGCAAATCCATTTATTAAACCTGGGCCCTTCCTTACCATGTGTGTCAGTGTGCTAGGGCTGCCATGACCGATTACCACACACTGGGTGGCTTACAACAACACGAATGGGCCAGGTGTGGTGTGCACTCCTGTACGTTCCGTGATTTGGGAGGCTGAGGCAGGAGGATTGCAAGTTTCAGGCCAGCCTCTGCAACTTGGTGAGACCTTGTCTCAAAAAAAAAAAAAAATTTTTTTTTAGGCAAACAAACAGAAGTGTATCCTCTCACTGTTCAGAGGCCAGAAGGCGAGGTGTTGGCAGGCTTGGCTCCTTCTGAAGTGTGGTTGAGAAACCAGCTTGAGGCCGTCCTAGCCTGTGTCGTTGGCGTTCCTTGGTTTGTATTCACATCACTCAGTGTCCGCCTCCACTGTCACATCCCGCCTCTGTTTCCGAACGTCTCTTTCTATCTCTCATAAGGACATTATCCTTGGGTTTAGGGCCAGTTCTCATCCAGTATGATCTTATCTCAATCTTTGTCTTCATTATATCTACAAAGATCCTGTTCATAAATGAGGTCACCTTCTGAGTGAGGTGGACATGAATTCTCGAGGGGACACTACTCCACCCAACACTGTGGGTCTCCATCAACCCAGGGCAGTAGGCAGGATTAGCAGAGGTGAAGAAACTGAAGCTCAGAGAGGTCAAGTAAATTGCTCAAGGTCGTTCACCTGGCAGGCCCTCAAGCCAGGACGGGAGGTGGGTGTCAAGTCCAGGTCTGTAAATCTGTCACTTGTCTCTTTCTTTGATCAATTGCTGTCTTTTGAAGACTGCTCTGATTTGGATAAATGTCCCCTAAAGGCTTGTTTCCAGCCATGGTACTATTGGCAGGTATGGGTGCCTTTAAGAGGTGGGGCTTAATGGAAGGAAGTTAGGTCATTGGGTGTGGCCTTAGGACCCAGGCTCCTCCTCTTTCTCTTTTTTTTTGCTTCCCAGCTGCTTTGCTCCAACACAGGTGGTCTGCCACCTTGCTGCCTCCCCACAGGCCTAAAAGCAACAGGACCGACTGACCAGGGACTGAAAACTCAGAGCTCTGAGCCAAAAGAACCCCTTTCTCTTTTAAGTTGATTAACTCAGGTATTTTGGTAGGATACCAGAAAAATGACTAACACAAAGACTGGATGTTTTTAATTTTAATCATTAATTTAATAATTTCATTATTTTAGTCTTATAGTGTTTTCTTTTTCTGCTTTGTCTAAGAAATATTTGTTTCAAGGATATTATTCTGTGTTTTGTTTGAGGAGTTTTACATTTATAGTTTTCTGTGTACGGTGACCCATCTGGAATTAATTTCTGTGTTGGGTATGAAGTGTAGTTTGAGTGAACTCAGGACCTTTTAATCCACTGTTACATAATGTAACCATGTGCTATGAAATAATAATATTGATAATAAAGAGAACAACAACAATATAAAGCTAATATATACAGAAGATAATTGCAGTTGTAAATGACAGAAAACCTAATTCAGAATTTATTGAGTTAAAGAAAAATGTAATTGGCTCATATAATTGACGTTCAGAAGATTTGGCAGTTCATAAGTGATTTTAAAATTATTAGTACCAGAACATGGAAGAATTGGATAACAATCAATTCAAGTAATTTGAGAAAAGAGGTGAACCTGCAGGTATGGCTACATCCGGGGTCTTGAATGTGCAGGCAGTGTTTGGCTTCTCCGTCTTTCATGTCAGATCTTCTTTCCTCAATGTGGTCTTCATTTTCAGACAAGCCCTTCCTTCAGGATGGTTACCAGAAATTCTAGGCTTATATCTCATCCTCTCAGCAATTCCAATTCTTCAAGAGTTGATAGATTAAAATTTTATGATTTTTTAAAAAATTGAGTTACTGACAGGCCACTATAGAGCAGTAGTGACCCACAGAGCTCTGAAGTCAGAGATAATCCATTTCTACTTTGATATACCAGCTGTGTGACTCTGGGCAAGCTGTTTGACCTCTCTGAGACTTAGTTTCTTCATTCAGAAAGTGAATAGCAGTTAAGATTGTGGAGAGGGGAATGAGGTGGAGAGGGGAATGAGATGGGGAGGGGAGGAAGGGAGATATGAGAACTGATATCTAAATAAGTATCTATTATTGTCATTTTCAGAGAGTTAGGAAGCAATGAATTCAAGTCATTTTACAGAGAGATAAGCATTCAGGTGGCTCTGTGATACTTCCTGCTGACCGCAATGGAAGTTCTATAGAAAGGTCTAGGTTCCAGACTGTGGGAGAGATGCAAGGCGCTACCCTCCCTCCCTTCCGAGCTCCGGCCAATGGACGCTCTGTACAGCCATCAGTGGACCCATGAGCAAGATGCTACGTGAACTCCAAGCCCAGGGCGCTCAAGTCCAGACTGGAATTAGAATACAGCCCAGATCCAAGGTCAAATGGGGACCTCTTGACTCTCTTAAACCCTCACTTGGAGGGAGCTAGTGTGTCCATAAAAAAGAATGGGCCAGGTTTACCCTCCAGGTACCCACAAGGAAGCACAAACAGAAATTCCAGAGGAGAGAGAAGGGTGCATCCCACCTGCAGACAGGGCAGAGCCCGGTGGGCGTGGCCCATATTCCCTCCAAGGACACGCCCCCATGACCCGACTTCTTTCACCTAGGCCTCACCTCCGGAAGTTTGCACCACCTCCTCCCAAGAGCCCCTCACCTGGGGACCAAGCCTTCAACCCATAAGCTTTGGGGGGGACATTGAAGATGCAAACCATGCAGAACAGACTCTCTGACCAGAGCAGGAGCAGATCTGAAAACTGAGAAAGAAAGAATACTGAAGCTCTGTGCAGACTCTCCTTGCAAAGGGTGCAGGAGAGAGGGGGGAGTCAGCTCTCTTCAGTGAAAACCTTTTAATCCAGAGCAGTTTTATGACCTTCGAAAGCCAAACTCAAATTAACATAGTGTTGCTAAGTAGAGACTCCTGCTGGTCTTCTATAATGAATAAATACCATTCATTTGTAATTAGCAGCACCCAGCTGCAGAAGGGCAATTAGTATGCTAACAGGAATGAAAACAGGAGGTCCCTCTTAAGGCAAAAATCAAGGCTCTCTGGGTGCCTTGTGCGTGCCTTATGGGCTTTGGCACTAGCAGGAGGCTTTTCCTAGGGCTCTTTAGATTTTGCACGTGGCACTCTAGAGAACATCAAGGTTTCTGTGAAACGGGCATCGCCAGGAAGAAAACGACTCGGCCTTCCCCTCTGCACCCACCTGAGTGTCCACACTCTATCCCGAGGCATCACGGGCTCCTTTCATTGGAAAGTCCAGCCAACGTGCATCTCCCTGTGTAAATCCTGCCTTTGTTTTATTAACTCTTCGTGATTTGTCCTTGCCTCTTTGCAGAAAGGGCTCAAGCGATCGATTGTGTGGGGAAGCAGCGGTTCTCCAGGAGCCCTTGAGGGCCCGTGTTTGGGCTGCAGGGAGGAGCTGGGCCTCCCCCAGGGCAGCAGAGACGGAGGCTGGCCGGGACTCAGCTTCACCTTCCTACCGAGGGGCAGGCACCAGGGAGTTTGATGTTGGCAGCATCTCCTCTGCGTGGGGCAGAGCTGCACCAGCCTCAGCAGCTCCCGATGTCACCAGCTGACAGGCAATTAATCACCGGCTGAAGCGAGATACCAAAGTCCTTTCCCAAGAATTTTTTCTGGGGGATCGTTCCTTTAAGAGGACGCAATTTTCAGATGCGGGAACGTGTTAAAGAACGCCATCCCAGCCCATGCCAAGAAGATCCTGCAATCTTGTTTTTCACCCCTCGTTGGTTAGTTCAGTCCTTTCTCTACAGCATGCAGAGACACTTCGGTTTGGGTCCAAATATCATAAATTTTGAATTCTAGTAAAAGCATCCAAATCCATGAGCCGCTATGGCATGGCCATGTTGTGGCCGGTGGGGTGAAGAGAAGAATTCCAGTCACTGTGGGAGGCCACAAAACACCGTTGTCCTTGCCTGAGCTTTGGTCCCACCTCTGCCTCTTAGGAGCTCCATGACCAGGAAGCTACAGGAGCCTCAGTTGTTGCTAAGATGAGGAGGACACTCCTGGTCTCACAGGGAGCTGAAAGTTGCACTTTGCCTGGGACATAAAAGCAGCTCAGTAAATAGCTTTGATTCTTAGGAAAGCTAACGAGGCACAGTGCAGTGACCTTGGGGCCCAGGCACAGTGCAGTGACCTTGTGGCGTTGAACTGACCTGGCTTCCAAGCAATTCCATCTTTCAGTGATTTATCTAACTTTGTTGAGAGGGTCTTCATGTGCTAATTGGGGATCCTACTCCATGATGTGTGTGTGTGTGTGTGTGTGTGTGTGTGTGTGTACGGGATGATTGAAACTGTATCCTCAAAAGCAACAGCAGGTCCTTAAGAAAATTGGCCTCCCTTCTATACTGAGTTTGGAGACACACAGAGTAGAGCATTTGTGGCTTTATTCTTGTCGACATCTTTGACAGGTTGTGTGACACGGCCGGTGCTTATCCCCCATGGGCCCCTGTTTCCTCATCTGTACCCAGGAGAAGAGGATATTATTTTTGACAAGATTAAGTGGGAATACGTAGTTCGTATACGGCACACGGCGATAAAAGCCTAGGTTCATTGAGGGCTTGGTGTGTACCAGACACCATTCTAAATAATTCACACCTATTAATTCATTAAAGCTTTGCAAAGAGTTTTGCAAATAGGGACTGCTTTTAGGCCTATTTTATAAATCGGGGCTCTGAACATCATGTCATTTGCTAGTGATTAATGGGGGGGGTCAGGTTTAAATAAAGCCAGGCTGATTCCAGATCCCGGACTCTCAACCACTGGGTCACGTGAATCTGTTGGCATCCTGAAACCGTTAGGGACCCATAAGTGGAATTGGAAGGAGTTATGGTTAGCTATGAGGTATCCCCCAGAAGTTCACGTAGGTGCTCCTGGGTGAGAAGGTTCTCATGGTGAGAACCTTCAGAGGTGAAATGATTAGGTGTTGAGAGCTGGAACCTCAGGGGTGGATTAATCCACTGGTGGGTTAACTGGGTGGTAACCAGGCAGGTAGGCTGTGGTTGGAGAAAGTAGGTCCCGGGTGAGCAGAGCTCTCTCTCTTCTTCCTGATGGCTTTGTCCTGAGCTTCCTCCATCTGCCGTGCCTTCCGCCATGATGGTCTGCCTCACCTTGGGCCCAGAGCTATGGAGTGAGCCATCTGTGGACTGAGACCTCTGACACTGTGAGCCCAAATAAATTTCCTCCGACACATTGTTCTTATGCTTACTAAAACAGAAGGGAGAAAAAACAGATAAAAAAGGTGCTCTGTGGCCATACTGAATAGCTCAGGGACTGGGTGCTGGTGTGGCCTTCCTGGTGTGGCCAGGGCCCCTTCCCAGGGTCAGTGCTGGAGATGGACCAGGACTGGGCAGGGAGGTGTCCTTCCTGGGTCATGTCAGGTCCAGTCCTGCTGGTTGTGGCTGTCAGGTCAGTGACAGGAGCCAGGCGCTGGGGTTGGAATGTTTGTCCCCCAGGATCCCTGAACTGGGTACTTAATCCCCAATGTCATCAATTCACAGTGCATGGAAGGGATGGGATCACGAGGCTCTCCGTGGGCTAATCCATTCATGGACTAATGTGTTATCAGAGGAGTGGCTTTGTTTTAAAAATGAGCTCTCTGGGTGATGCCATGCCCTAGTCTGACTTGAGACTCTGCAAAGTGTCACCCCCCCCTCCATCAAGAAAGCCATTACCAGATGGGGACCTTGGGCTCCAGACTTCTCAATCTCTAGAACTCTAAGAAATTTATTTTCTTTATAAATTACCCAGTCTTGGGTATTGTGTTATAGCCATAGAAAATGGACCAAGACACTAGGTTTGGGGATTAAGTTTTACGGATCAGAGTAAGATGCAAAGTTGGGACACTGGAATCAAGAATTCAGAGTCACCTGGTCCCCGGCTCTCAAAAATCAGGGTTCAGAGACCCTCAGGAGCTCCAGCGAATGGGAATAAATGGGGGGCGGTCCCCTTGGTGAACCTCTGCTGGATGAATCAGAGTCGATAGCATTTGATCTCTCTCCTCCCTGAGAGATCAGCCATTGGCCAAGTTTGGATCAAATAGGAACAGCAGGTTGCTTGGATGGACTTGCACTGTGACGATCAGGAAGGGTCTACAGTAACCCTGCTCCCCGCCCACACTGATCTGTCAACAGTGAAGGCCACAGCCCAGGTGAAGGCTGGCCAGTTCTCCTGGCAGAGGCCTTCCAAGCTGTGACTCTGGGATACTGGCTCTGTCCATCGAGTGACCCTGCTACCTTCAACATGGTTGTTCTAGAAGGGGAAAAGAGAACACGGGTGCTCGTGTGTGTGTGTGTGTGTGTGTGCGCGTGCGCGCGTGCACACAGGGAGGTGGCATTTATTACTTCTCTCTGCTCCCCATTGGCAGGACCCGCTCACATAGTTTCAGCCTCCCAGCAAAGGAGGCTGGGAAATGTAGTCTCCCTTCCTGCCACACCACCCACAGGTGCACAAGGGCAGTTCCTCCTGAAAGCGAAGCTGTGGCTCTGCACAGGGGCAGGGTGGGCGGAGGCCAGTGACAGCGCCCACCTTTTCCTGTCCTGGCTGAGTGACCCTTGTGAGGGCAGGTGATCTAAAGCAGGACAGGAACCCTCTTCAGGTGGACGGCGGCTGATAACCCTGACCTCACACTCTGGGGGCCGTGACCTTCACCTCGTTTACACACATGCCCTGTTTGGTCTGCAGGAAGATCTCCTGAATTTGTTTTTTTTTTTTTAAGTTCTGAAGCAGTGGCCAGCGTTTCTGGATCAGGAGGTTCTAGATGTCCAGTGGTATTATTCTGCCACAGTCTCCAGGACAAAGTACCCCGGATGCTTATTTTCTCGAGGTTCTGGAGGCTGAAGGTCCAAGATGGAGGTCCTGGCAGGCCGGTTTCTCCTGAGGCCCGGCCTTGGGTGCAGACAGCTGCCCGCTCTCTGCATCCTCATGGGTCCTTCTCTATGGGTGCACTTCTTCCTCTTCCTATTAGGTTGCCTGTATGATTGGATCAGGGTCCACCCTTGTGATGCCATTTAACCTTAATTATCTCCTTAAAAGGATGTGTCTCTGAAGACTGTCATCTTAGAGGTCAGGGTTTCACCGTGAATTTGTAGAGGGAGTCATAATTTAGTCTAGGACACCGGATTTCAGTTGGCCACTGAACAGATGCTTTTTTGAACACTTAGACACGACACACAATCCCAGGTTCTAAGGGTACAAGGGTAAATAAAACTGACCTTCTCTCTGTGGGGCTGAAATGAAAAGTGCCTTGGGAAACAATAAAAATGAAGGCAGGGAAGGAATTCTGGAGGGCCTGTAGGAGGGGTGAGGGAGATGGCGGTGGACAGTGGCCGGTTTCTTTGGGTCTCATTGGGAGGGTAGAAGTTAGACCAAAGATTTGACTGTGGTGAGCCAATAAGTCATGGACGCCTGGGACAGGGAGAAGGACAAGCAAGAGCACAGGCCCTGATGGGCGTGTGGCTGGGATGTAAATGGTTCCTTAGCAGGATGCCCAGAGCAGCTAGAGCAGAGCCTGGTGGGAGTGGGAGTGGTAGGAAGTGAGGCCTCTAGATAGTAGCATGGCCCCACCAGGCACGGTGGCGCACATCTGTCATCCCAGCAGCTCAGGAGGCTGAGGCAGGAGGATCGAGAGTTCAAAGCCAGCCTCCACAAAAGTGGAGTGGGAATCCTGCTTTCCTAAAAACCCTGAAGACTGGAATAACACTGGGCCCTGATTCCCCAGAGCCAGAGGAGTCTACACTCCCGTCTCCTAAGGCCTGTGCTTCCACTTGGCCACAGTCCCGTCTGCTGCGCCCCTGTTCTGGGTGCTTCCCCCACTTAACGTTTCTCATGCGGCTCCTGCAAGCCTCGGAGGCTGCGGTTCCTGATCTGCACACCAATGCGTCTCCGAGAACGGCCAGGTGAGGTTTCCCACGACCCTCTAGATGGCCAAGGTTTCTGCAAGAATGACTCACGCCATGCTCAGAGCAATTCAGGAACCCACCTCCCCCGGGTGAAAAGTCACTTGTGGTTTGCAAAGAAAACAAATGCATCCCAGAGCTCCGCCAAGCCTGGGTGGATGCTGTCTGGATCACAGTCATCATCGGAGCAAATGGGCTCTGGGGTGGAGAGCTCCATCGTGACCCCCACCTTGTCACCCTGCCTCGTCCTTCAGAGACTCCTCCGACTCTCCGTCTCTGGGAGCGCTTGGCACTGACGTGGCACTTAATTAAAAGAACGCCCCACGCCGGCTTCCGGCTGGGCTGGATGGCCTGGGCTGGCCTGGGAAGAGGACTCGGGATTCCAGCCTCCTCGGCAAACCCGTGTGAATTGTCATGTTGGCAGAACCGGGGCCCTGGGCACCTGGCAACCCGACTGGGGGTGGAAAGGTCTTCAGAGCTTACGTGGGTTAAGGCAGAGGCCCATGGAGGACTTTTGTTATGATCCTGGGCCGGGGCCCAGCCTCCCGGGTGTTGACATGAATACGGGAGACAGATCCCCCTCATCAGTCCTCACGATGGCGCGAGGCAGGGAATTTTGTCCCCATCACAAGTAGCCACAGGCAAGTGACGCTGCTGCTCTTTACCATCACCCAGGGAGCCTGCCACCTTGGCCCCTGGGGTCCCCTGCAGTGCCCTTGGGGCATCCGTAGGTTTTGAAGCTCCCAGGTGACTCTAAGGCGCAGCTGGGGGGCGGGTGGGAAATCACCGCGTGGTCATTTGGGCACTGACTTTCTGGGTTTTTCTGGATCTGACTCCAGCGTAGGAATGAAAACAGGTGGCCTTCTCTGGTGGGGCAGTTTCCCGTGGCCTGTGGAGGGCTGTGAGCCCAAGGCCTGCTCTGTCACGCACAGAGGGTGGGCCAAGACTTGTGAGCTCACGCGGACGGGGGCGCGCCCTCTGGTGTGAGCAGGAGTGGAGAGAGCTTCAGGGCGATTGCCCTTCGTCCTAGGAGATGCAGCCTGCTCAGTCTCATGGACGGGGTTCCCTCGGGTCCTCTCTGGTGAGTAGCGGCCACCAGATTCCTGAGCTCGGTGCTTAGGGGAGCTCCAAGGGGAGGATGTGCCTGAGACACCTGCAGGGCCCTCTCCCTCCTTGCTCTTTCTTTACCAGTCTCTCCTCTTCTTTTTCTCGGGGTTCACCTCTCTCTCTCTCTCTCTCTCTCTCTCTCTCTCTCTCTCTCTCTCTCTCTCTCTCCTTTCCTCTTTCCTCTGTGGGCTTCATTGTTCTTGGTCACAATTTTGGTCACGACAATAAAAAGCTGACGACACACTCCCCCCACCCCAGAGCACGGATCCAGCAGCTCTTTCCCCTGCTCTGGAACCCAGGGGCCCTAAACCTGCTCATGGCTCAGAATCCAACGACCTCAGCCTGGTGCTTGAGCCCGCTCTCCGCCAACCTTCTCTGCTGGAACCCTCTCCACCGGTCAGTGAGGCCGGGCTGCACCCTGCCCGCTTTCTAAGCCCACAGGACACCCCGTCTGTCCATCTGCTCATGCTATTTCATGCACCTGGACGCTCACCCTGCTTCTTCCCCTCTGTCCCAATCCCCCCATCCTCAGGGCCTCCCGGGCAGTGCTGGATCTGGGAGGGCATCCTGGGGCCCCTTTGTAGCACTCCGTCTGGATACTCATGTGGCCTCGCTACATCCAGCCCTGTGTGGAATGGCGGGGAGGGGCTGGGTGCAGCTCATGGCCTGGTTTCCATTGCCGCCTCTGCCACGGCGGGTAGTGATCTTGGGCAGATCCCTGGACCTTGCCTCTCCCTACTCTCATTTGCGAAACAGAGAATCGCACCTGCTTCATGAGGCGACAGTGCAGCCCAAGCAGGTTAATGCACGGTGCCCCACACAGTGGCTATTACGCTATGACATTGGTGACAATCTGTGCAGCAACCTGATCTGACTCAGTGTAACCGCTGTGCCCAGCTGGGCGCAGGTGCTGCAGGCACCTTTGTGGGAGTCAGGCAGGTGCAAGGCGCACTTGCTGGCTGGGTTGGATCTTAGTACCTGAGGGAACTTGGGATCCAGATGGGTCCTGAAAGTCATTCTCTTGAGTAGTCCTGGGGCACACGAGCTCTGCAGCCACACATCCTGCTGTGTGACTTGGGGAAGGAGGGCTTCCTGTGCTGTCATCTGATTTCCACACCTGTCAACGGGCACAACAGGAGAACGCACCTCCTAGAATTGCTGTGAGCATGGCGTGAGTCATTCTTGCAGAAACCTGGGCCATCTAGAGGGTCGTGGGAAACCTCACCTCGGGTCGCTCCTCTCCTGCCTGTGATGGGTGTCGAGCTTGGAGCCTCACGTCCCCGTCACCCCCCACTCTCCCACACGCTCTGGAGTGAGAAGCCGAGGGGGGAGAGGCGTTCAGCGCCCGGGTTGTGGAGATGCAGCTGTGACAGCTAATTACCTCTTGCCGTTATGGATTCTGCCCGGGCTGCCTCCCTTCTCCAAGATGCTTTGCGTAAGATGATGGAGGTGTCAGGAGGACATCCGGGCGCCGCCACTCAGAGGGTACAGTGGACTGGTACATCAGCTTGCTGGCTCTGAGCAGCCTCCTCTCCCAGGTCGTTTTTCCAGGAAACCCGGCGACTCATGCATCAGCGGATGACAGAGCTGCTGTGTCCTCCTCGTCCCTGGGCCACGGGTGTGGAGCAGGGGTTGGCAGCCCCCTTCACCCAGGACTCTTTGTCTGGGCGAGAGACAGGAGCGATTTGTGTTTCTGAAGCTAGCCTCCCTAGGCCAGGGCCAGCCGCTCTTCCTCCCTGTGGTGTGGAGATAAAGAAATAAGACAGAGGGAGTCGTCACCTTGCAGCATCTTCTAGCTCCGCCGGGAGAGAAGGGTGCACCAGGGGTGGGGGGTCACTGGAGGCCTGCATCTCAGGGAACACTGTGGATTTCTTATGAGGCAATCAACTCTCATTCTGAACCCCCCAAGCCTGAGCAACATAAATGGAAGGCAAATGCTGAGGTGCTCCTTTTGGGGGTACCATGTTTTCTCTTTCTTTTTTTTTTATTATCCTTTATCTCATTTGATTCTCACAAGTTAGAAAACGTTCTCTACATTGCAGTCAGTAGAAATAGAAGCTCAGAGAGGTTGAGAGACTTATGAGGGTCACACAGCAGATTTTGCATTTTCATCTAAATCTAATGATTCTGTTTGTTTTATCACTTCTTGCTTCCATAAGAGACAAAGAGTGGAATTCCTTCCGTTGGGTCTAGAAAACTAGAATATTTTTGACATGGCCTCCACCACTAGAACCGTCAGCTGGCTTTTAACTGTTCTATGTTCATGCACAGAGCTAAGCACGTCACTCAGGGTTTCATTCCATCCCAACATCATTCCTATGAAGCTGATGTTAGTAGGCCCATTTCCCATCTGAGGAAAACGGCAAGGTCCCTGAAGGCCAGGCTTGTCTGGCTCCTTTTCACGGTGTTATTCCCTCAGCTCTAACCCCTGTTTGTTGGAAGATTTGGGGTAAGGAATTTTGTCTGGTAGACCAGGAGGCCTCTTGGCACAGGGTCAGGAAGAGCCCTGGAGAATCCCACAGAGCCGTGGCCTTCACATCACTCTACGTCATGCTCCATGGAGTTCTTGGGGTCCTCAGCGGTGTCTTTGGGGGTGATCTGAGGGTGACAGTTGCAGCAGAGATCTCTGAGATCCTGAGTCAGCACAGCCGTACCTGCTCCTCCTCGGCTGGGCGTGTGTCCTGGCTCCATATCACATTGCAGTTGGAGAGAGATTTCTGCATACAGCACGGTGGCAAGCAGGAGTCAGACAGCCCTCTTCAAATCCCTGTGCCCCGTGTACTAGCATGAGCAAGTGGCCTGGGGCAAGACAGTTAATATGTTGATGCCTTCGTTTCATCAACTGTGTATTGATCAGGGTTATCCATTAAAGGGACCCATAGGCTAGATATAGGAATGCAGAGATTTATTGTGATGGATTGACTCACAGGGCTGTGGAAAAAGTCCCACATCTGCCATCTGCAAGCCGGAGACCCAGGAGAGCCAGTGGCTAGGTCCCGTCCACCCCTGAAGACGTCAGAAGCAGTGGTGTGAATCCTAGTCTGAGTCTGAAGATCCAAGAACGAGAACCTCTGATGTCCGTGGGCAGAAGAGAGAGTTCCAGCTCAAGAAGAAGGAGTGTGGATTTGTCCTTCCTCTGCTAATTATTTTTTTTCCTATTCAGGCCTTCAACGGAGGGCCTCCCTGGGACGGGTCATCTAGTTTACACAGCCTGCTGATTCAATGCAGATCTATTCTAGAAATGCGTTCGCGGAGGCACCAGAAATAATGTTTGCCAGCTATCTGGGCACCTCTTAGCCCAGTCAAGTGGACACATGAAGTTAGCCATCACAGACTGTAAAATGAGGAAGGTATCAATAGAGCCCACCTCCTGGGCTTCTTTTGAGAATTAGATGTGACAGCCAAGCCCCTCTCCAGGCTGAAGCTGAGTAAATGCCAACAAATGCTGCTTCCTCCCCTCCCCCATGCCTTGATCTACTTATTTCAAAATGTTTCTTGGGGAAACTCATCTCAAAAAGAATGGAAAGCTTCTGAATTGTTTATCCATCCATCCCATCAGTCAGTCAGCTGGCTTCACTATTGTGAAAGCGCCTAGTAGGTGCCTGGTTCTTGCCAGGGGTGGAGTGGTAGGAGTGCAGTGGGGGTGGGATGCAGAATGTTCTAGGCTTCTCCTATGCATGTGTCCACCCACCCAACATGCCTTACCTGAGTACTTACCGCCCATCAGGTAATACGTAGTAACTTATTCTGGGTATTTTACAAGGTACTGGGATTGCTTCTAGTTTTTCCTCTTTACCATACACTTGGTCTTAGAAGTCCTCTTAGTTTTGGTGCTCAGACTCTACATGTCCTCCTGGTGTGCAGGCCCACCCAGATATGCAGCTGCCCTGCTGCCGATAGAGAGGGTGAGGTGTCCGCTCCCCTGGTGGTTATGGCTAAGGATCTCTTTATAAGCACTTTCATTTTATCCCCTTGTATTTTGCATAGTGTTGTTCTGCACACCCTTGAGCTTATTCGAGGTGCCGTTCCAGACAGGAATGAAGAATTTATCCTTAACACACAGCAAGGGGTAACCTCCATGAGTGGAGAGAAGTAAGGGAGGATCCGGCTGTTGTCCTCACAGCACTGCCGAGGTTTGGAGGATCTCTCTGTCCCTCTCCATGTACATGTGCAGGTGTCTGTGTGTGTTAGTGACATAACTGTCCTGGGGTGTGTGCCTGAGTGTACGCCTGTGAACCAACATATGAAGGGATTGCAGTGGAGTCCATGCACGTTTGAATGTGGGGGTGGATCTACATGAGGGTGGGTACCATGCACGTGGATTGGTACAACAGTGTGTGTCTCCATTCCAGCTTGTTGGCTTTACTCTGGGCACACGAGCAGCTGCACTCAGGAGTACGAAGAAAACACTGCTAGTTGTCCCTCATCTTCATCATTCAATTTTTCTATGATAAGAGACTTTGTGCTAGGTGCAAAGCTTCCTTGCTTTCTTGTCTCCCTTTCCGTGAGGAATGGCCATGGGACTTAAGTTCTGTTCAAGGGGTATGAACAGAAGTGATGTGAGCCAAGGCTGGGCCATGCCTTCAAAGGCAGGGATGAGCCGTCTGCCTGCTTCCCTTCCCTCCACTTCCACTGGCTGGAACGCAGCATGAAGATGAACCATGTTGGACCAGAGCGTGGACAGCGGAAGCTTAGGTGTGCAGAGCAACAAGACGGAAGGATCCTGGGCCACCAGCACTCGGGACCTCCTTAGCAATTAGCCTTGACCTGGCTATTAAGTTGTCTCGTGAGCTAATAATGAACTTCTTATTTAAACCACCTTCTTGAGGGTCTTGGTTATAGCAGCTACAGCAGCAGCCATATTAAGTCAAATTTCACACAGTGTGTGCATGTGCATCGTTTGGATAAAGTCCATTTCCTCCCTGTAAAGTTCAAATGTCTCAAATTAGACACCTGCCTGTTGTCTAGCTAGAGAGGCTCTGCCTGGAGTCATATAAACTGTGTGGCTTTTTTGGAGGGTGGAAGACCTTAGGTTGCACTCTTGGGAGCTCAGCTGCAGGAGGACCATTGGAGACGCCTAGGAGAATGGAAACGGGGATCTTCCAGTTAGAAGTCTGATCCCTGCCTGTTTAATCCTGAGCCAGTCCTGTTTACCTCCAAACCAGCTTTGTTCTTCCCAGCAGAACAAAGGAGCTGCTCTCGAGTATCCCTAAGATTCCTCTGAACTCAGAGGTTTTGTGATAGGCTTCTGCATTAGTCGTCATTTTCTTGGCTTCTAGCCCCGGTAGCTTCTTATTATATTCCTAAGAAGACACGGCCAACTGGAAAACATGTACATTCTCATGCTCCGGGCTGAAGGCTGTGGGAGAAAAGGCTGTGGCCAGCCCGATACACAGAGGCCAGGCTTTTGGCTTCAGATGCCAAGAATACATTTTTGAAGACATGCAGGTGCCTGGCTTCCGTAGCCAAAGATTATTTGTGAAACAGGCATGAATTTGCTTCGCGGTGCCAGGGCGCAGGAAACTCGTATTTTTTCACTTTTCTAAATCTCAATTAAATCTGATTTCTGAGTCCCCACCCTGATGACTGATGGGATGGACAAGATCTGTCACCACTGGGCAGCTTCCCCACCCCCTGGCATTGCACCAAGTCCTGGAGCTTACTTTGGTGCCAGGAGAGGCTTGGTCCTCGGCTGTGTGTTTGGGGAGACGCTCCCCATGGAGGCTGAGTTGAGCTGTGACTTAGTTCCAGGGGCCTGGGTACAGCCTTCAAAGTCATGGATCCGCATAACCACCCCAGGACCCAGACATGACCACATCTGAGGATTGTTTCCCTGCAAGCACAGCAACAGAGAAGGACACAATCTGCCTCTTGCGGGAAGCCCTCCGTGAATTACACAAGGATCTTCTCTCAGCATGGAAACCGGGGAGATTTAGGTTTGGCCTTGGGAACTGCCGGTGACTCTCCCATGGCAAGAGTTTGCCCAATGCACATGACCTTCATCTCTGCTCTGCTAGGAAGATCCCTCTTAGTAGCTCCAGAAATGGGCGTAGCCTGTTGGGACCTGGACAGCTCACCTTTCACCTTTTTGGGTGAAGAACATTCTGTAGAAGACCTTGGATGTTTCCTGATATAAATAAAGCAGGTTACGGGCTCCATTTCGGCCAGCGTCTAGAAGCTCCATCTGTCTGATCAGCTTGTCCGTCCTGCCCCTGCTTTTGAAGCTACTTTCTGTGTCCTGTGATTTTGTTCATCGTTCTGTGTCTCCTAGCTTTTATTTCTCAGCCTATTTCACCGAGGGGAACCCCATTTCTACCGCTCGTGCGGGGTATGGGTGGGAGTCTGTCCATCCTCTCTCCAGGATGGCACTAATCTCTCCTCTACTCAGAGAACGAGCCCTTCTGCAGAAACTTTAGCCTAGTTCCTTGGTCAGTCTGGCCAGCAAACTGTAAGACTGGGTGGAGACTTTGTTCAGAAGGATCTCTGTAACTCAGAAGAGCCCTGACTACTACTTATCCCCCTAAGACTGGGGTAGACTTTCAGTTGGCTCTATTTCAGAGACACCTGTGTAATTTAAAACTTTCTAGCAACCACATTAAAATGGTAAAACAGAATGGTTGAAATTTATATGAATATATTTTTATTTAACTCGATATATCCAGAATATTACCGCTTTAATGTGCAGTCAGTGTAACATTATTTGTGAGACATTTTACATCCATTTATTGGTACTAAGTCATTGAAATTCAATGTGTATTTCACACTTAGAGCACATTGTGTTTGCA